GGGCTCTGCTACGAGGACATAAGTCTTAGATGTCAGTCTGGGAACTTCAGTCCTAACTAATTTCCTTGAAAGCCCCCAATTTCTTTGATCTGAGAGTGAGACTCAGCCTCCCCTCAATGCCTGAGTGGGCAACAGTCCTCTAAGAATTCTTATCTGAGGAAAATGATCTCTTCAAAGGAATTTTCTTATCCTATTCTTTTTCAAACTGCAACAGAAGAAAAAATGAGTAGATGGCTCAGGAGATCTGGTCCACCATCTGAGCCTCAGTTTATGCCACCACTCCTCACTTTAGAAAGAGGGTCCTCACTATTTTCTGGTCCTGGAAACCTCTTCCACCTCCCCTCATCATCTGGTGGAACTGCCTGGCTCTGCTGCCTAATAGAATTACTGGACCTCCCCTTGTTTTCTGTGGCTGCCTCCTCTGTAATTCTGTGGAAGGAGGAAGCCAGGGGGAGGCTGGGAGAGAGGAGAGAGAGGAGCCTTGGGTAGGCTTCTGATTTCTAACTCTTTCTTCTCCTCATTGGGGCACTGAGAGGCGATGGAAACAATGCCTGGGATGCAGCCCCTGGGCTGAGCAAGGTCCTCAAGTAGCCTTAAGCCCTCATCTGGCCATAGCTACAGTAAGGAGAGTGATAGGAGGAGGGTTAAGGAAGGAGTCCAGGTCTTGGGGAGCACATCGTCACCCTCTGGGCTCTAGTGAAGCTCAAAGGCCCACACCTCCTCACCCCCTCCCCACAGCATGGGGAGGCACAGGAAGGTCTATGAAGACACAGCTGGATCTGCCACCTCAGCCCAGGATTTCAGTGCAGAGACCCTGTGATCCAAGCTGTGGGAGCAGGATGTTCTGATTCCTGGGGTCCCTGTTCCTGACTCTGAGGACAAAAGTGGTGGAGCCTCCACTCCTAGGAGGGCCCTGGCTGTCCCTAGGCCCATGGGGGAAGCTGCAGCAGCAGAAGCTACAGGTCAGGTGTGAGCAGCAGCTGCAGGCACTCACCCTCCTGGCAGAGGAGGAAGGGGGTTCTTGTCTCAGTTCCTCCTTGGCCTGGAGCACCGTGCGAGCACTCAGGCTGCTATCCCATGCTCAGCAGTAATAATCAGCCTCATCTCCAGTCTGGAGTCCAGTGATGGTCAGGGAGGCTGAAGTGCCAGACTTGGAGCCAGAGAATCGTTCAGAAACCCCTGAGGGTCGCTTATTATCGTCATAGATGAGGAGTTTGGGGGCTGTTCCTGGGAGCTGCTG